TTTGATTACATCGGTGCAAAATGAAAAAGATCAATCCATATTGTCATCATGTGGTTCAGTATCATATGCCCATTTAAAACAATTGTTTATGCCATCACATCACATCAATTGCAGACTTGTGAATTGAATTGAATCAAAATCGTATCGTGACAGACTTTGTGAAATCAGGAATATTTTATCATCTTCCAAACAAATTGATATGTTTTATAGTAACAAATCTGGTGATTTACAACCCTAGTTCCTTTTGATGGACTGGAGACCTGTCCAGGTGTGCCCCACCTCTCACACAGCACCTGATGAATGTTGGCACCAGTTTACTCTGCGCTGCTCAGAAAAGCATATAAAGCAAACATATGGATGGATTATTACTGCCTGTTGTCAAACAGGAAGGTTTGACATCAGTGCTTATGTCTGCGTGTCTGTCTGTTAGCAAAATATCTCATGAACTACAGATTTCATTAAAATTTTCAGAAATGATTGGATTCTACAATCCCTTACAGAATTCTGTTGCTTATCCATGTTGTAGAAACAAAAGACTTTCAATTCATCCATTGGTTTTAGAAATGATTCGTATGAAAGCTGAAACCCTCCTAAATGAGGTTGAAATTACAAAAATAAATTTGCTTCACTGCAGAAATATTGATGATTTAATGAACACAGAAAGGTCAGATTTTGGCAAGATTAATGTTTTGTCACCTTGTCATACACTGCACCCAATCCTAGTTTCCAGCCTCACCTGTGCTCACTAACTGATCAGTTAATTAGTGGGTGTGTATCGAAAGAACCCCAGCATCCCAGATCTTCACTTGAACTGCAACCTGACCTCTGACAACGGGCCAAAAATCCTCCCTGCGACCAAAGCCTTGATTATCAAGAGGCTGAAGACCAGATCCACTGCAGAGGAGGCTGGCAACTTTAATGTGTCTCAGTGTCAAGTACAAAGAATTAAAGAAAACATCTGAAGAGACTGGAGATGTTTTTGAGAAGCCCAGGTCCGGTAGACCCTGCAAAACAACTGCTCAGGAGCAACATTTGTTGGTTAGAAAATCCAAAGCCAACCCCTCTTCCACTGCAGCAGAGCTCCACCAGGCCTGGTCACCTCAAGTCCCTGTGTCAACTAGAACAGTCTGTCTCCAAATGGCCTCCATGGTCCAATCAGTGCCCAGAAGCCAGCACTAAACAAAAGGTAATTCAAAAACTGTGTGGAATTTGCCAAAGCCCAAACCCTGCTAAACATACGGATGCTGGAAAAGTGGCAGAAGGTGGACTTCTCAGATGAATCTTCAGTTGAATTACACCACAGCCACCACCAATACTGCAGGAGACCTACTGGAGCTCGTATGGATCCAAGATTCACACAGAAAACAGTTAAGTTTGATGGTGGAACGATCACGGTCTGGGGTTACATTCAGTATGGGGGTGTGTGAAACATTTGCAAGGTGGAAGGCAATATCATAGCCTAAAATATCAAGAAGTTCTAGCTACCTCTTACATTCCCAATCATAAAAGGGTCAGATTTTGCACCAGGATGGTGCTCCCTCTCATACATCCATCTCTGCATCAAAGTTCCTTTAAGGAGAAGATGGAGGTGCTCCAGGACTGGGCAGCCCAGTCACCAGACATGAACATCATTGAGCATGTTTGGGCTAGAATGAAAGAGGAAGATTGGAAGACAAAACCAAAAAATCTTGATGAACTCTGGGAGGCATGTAAGACTGCATTCTTTGCCATTCCTGAGGACTTCATCAATAAATTGTATGAATCATTGTCAAACTGCATGGATACAGTCCTTCAAGCTCATGGGATTCACACAGAACATTAAATATGGCTCTAATAACATCACAACTTCATTCACCAGTGTTATGAAACACATCTTTGCATTTGAAGTTAAATATTTGTTTGATTTTCACATTACTTTCTGTGGGCGACAAAACTTTTGTCAAAATCTGATCTTTCTGTGTTCTTTAAATGATCAATTTTTCTGCAGAGAAACAAATTTATTTTCGTAACTTAAACCTCATTTGGGAGGGTTTCAGCTTTCATAGGAACCATTTCTAAAACCAATGGATGAATTTAAAGTCAGGTTATAAGCTTTTGTTTCTACAACATGGATAAGCGACAGAACTTCAGTCAGGGATTGTACAGCTGATTATTCTGCAGGCTGGATGTCACAGCTAATCAGCATGAGACAACAGAAATAGTTCTTTTCCCCGGTAAATTCAGAATTTACAGGAAAAGAACTCTTATGGCCACATCTTTGTATCAGAATATGTTTCACGTATCAGAATCAGTCTGCAGGATCTGCAGGACGCCGTTTGGATCCAGRTGAGATCAGGGTGAGCCTGGTGACCCCCCTTCAGTCAGGGTTTTGAAATGGACAGACAGTGACTCCTCCTCTGGGTTTGGTGGGCGTCTGTATTCCTCTCTGGTGATCACGTAACAAAGCACCGCCCCGTAGAACACCAACAGGACCCCTAGGACGTTGGCCAGAACGCCCTCAGGAGCAAACTGAGAGTAGGTGGACCTGGGAAATCAGATTTGGAAAGCAGAACTTAGAGTGGTAGACTATTACAAAAACTGTGCAGAGACATGGTTTTTGGGTCAGGTGAGGATTTTGTTGTTTAGAAGAAGCACATGTCAGCAGCGAGAGTCCTGACCAAAACACTGGATGATGACCTCATGTTAAAACTTCAGTCAAAACCTGAATGGTCTTGAAAGTACCTTAAGTGTGGTGGTCAGCTGGAGGCACAACTACAGAAATGCTCATTCTGGACTGAGCGCGAGGGGAGAAGCAGCAGGGTAGCCATGGAATACGACCCCATCAGTRTCATGTCAGCGTGGCGTAATCTACACTGTAGCTGCATAGTGCCAATGTGGAGGACTAATTTATTTATTATTACTAATTTTATTATATYTATTTAATTATTGACCATTGATTGGCAGGATCCTCCACACCAGAGCTTTATGGGGTAGTTTTAAAGGGGTCCCTGATTATTTGTAACATTAGACTTTATTTGATAAACATATATTT